ATGGTTATATGAAAGAGGCATTTGCCTCGGGAGCCCTATTTGAATATTTTATAATTAATCTATCTATTTATATAATTAATATTACTTACAATTTTTTTAACAATCTTTTTAATTAATGAAAAACACAGGGAAAAGTTTCAGACATGAAGAAACGCTTCACTGTCTTGGCTAGATCATCAGCTCTAGAGTTTTCAGATCTAGAGGTGAAGCTAAATGAAATCAAAGAGAACAAAGATGCGAGAGTGTGGATATCAAAAAGGAGACCATAGATTTTCTTGATTGACTCTTGCGACGAAATAGCTCGGATTAGATCCTGAGCGTCGGATCTGAGGAGAAGGTTTGTGAATCACTTTTCCAGAGCATGATTAACGGCTGATCTGATGGCTATAGCTTCTGCCATGATCGGGGATGAGACGAAAGGTTCTGCCGTTGTGTCCAAATCCCACTTCAACTCCAGCGTTGTTGATGAAAGCCCATCCAGATCATGCAATACCAGAATCAGAGCTCCAGGCTCCGTCGGTGAAGCAGGTAACAGTTACGTCGCTTTGCTTTTGGGGATTGAAGGCTCTTGATTGAACAAAAATTGCTTCTTTTTCCCATTGTGCATGTTGCCATTCTCGAGCTTCGGTTATAGCTTTCAATAATGTCTCCTCAGGTGAGAAGGTTCGTTCCTTGAAGCTAAGATAATTCCTGGCTGTCCAAAGAGCCCAAATTAGCCACGGAAAGAGAGGACCTTCTCCGATACAACGAATCTCTTTATGATAAACGAATCCATTTTGCAAGTTTGTTATTACGGGTAGTTCCTACAAAGGTGATACCTGTTGGTGGAAGAAGGAGCATGCTTTGCGAGCGGTCTTGAAGTCCAAATCCTGTATTTTGCTCCAAAATGCATCTTTTTACCTGTTTAGACTCTAAGTACTATAAATACATAAAAACTACCTTTTTAGATCAGAAAGCCATTAAAACCCTTATGAAAAGCATAGTAAAACCATATAAAAACATGTAAAATAGAGGTATATCAACTCCCCAGACTTAGATATTTGCTTGTCCTCAAGCAAATCGAATCCAAACTAGTGAAGAGGTTTTGAAAACATGGAAACTACTTATCTTTTAGAACTTGTATCCACCATTGCTCTGCTTTCATTTGGAGCAAAACCACTTTGAAACTAGCTTTCCCGTACTGACCTTGAGCTTAGCGAACCATACCGGACCCAACAAATCTCATCCAGTATTCCAAACTCTCTATTGCTAACTCCTTGCAGTATTTAAAACGTGTGGTCTTTATCAAGGGAGTATTGATCACAGAGCATTGATTCTTACCCATCCAAGTGTTTGCCAAGACAGTCTTTTTAGCACATTCAGTACCAAACCTCTCTCCTTCTCTCTTATCATTGAAGGATCGATTTTTCCCTACTTTTCTAGGGTATCATTTTATTTTTCTATCGATCCTCCTTCCCTTAAGATTTCTCTTAGTGGGACACATGGATTGGCTTAAGCTTCCTCCTTGTTTATAAGGTATTCCATAAGACATGAAGGTACATAAGTATGCATTCCTCATGCTTACTTGTTTTCCTTGTGCTTGTAGAGCTTTTGATTTCTTTTGCAGACAAGAGAGAGGATGGACTATTTCTTTTCTAGACATATCTCAGCTTGACCTAGATGAGGAGTCGGCTCATATGTATCTCAAGCCCCTTGACAAGAAAATTAAAGGTTCATTAAGTTGTGGAGTTAACTCTAGATTGTGTGGGTACCTTAGAAATCTTGCCAAATCAGTAGGTCGATCCACCCTCAGAGGTTCCGTTAGGCATTGTTCGGCGTCGGTATTCGCCTTTGTGATCACAAGAGCTTTGGTGTGATAAGGTAAGCTCCAAGAATAGATCATTGTTTCCCAACTGGTTTTGACTCAATAAAACAGAAATTTTTGAAAAAGGTGGGAAAGAGAAGAAGATATAAGATGAAGACAAGGCATGAACAAACACATTAGTACCGACAATCCCCCCAGACTTAACTTGCACCGTCCCGGTGAAAGAAAATCCTATTAAGGGAGGAAAAAAAAAGAGGTAATAAGTAGTTTGTGAATGAGAGGAAAGATGTAACCTGATTAGAACTTAAGTCCATGAAGAAACTAGCCATTGGTGATATGTGGCTGTCCTTCTCCTTTGATAGGTTGAGATAAGCCTTAGGTCATCAAGATCAGAGCCGGGTTGGTGAATGGGACATTTTCTCATGTGATATTGGTCGGTGAGTTTTGAATTTCAGGGCCTGGTTCACGCCGGATTGCGTTTTGGCCGAGATGGGACATTTCGGTCGTCCGAAAGGGTTGCTATGAACTACAGAACAAACCATGAAGAATTCCTCGACCCATATTGAAATTTCATCGACCAACCTGATCTTCTATGCCCACTGGTGAAGTGTGAGATCATTCGAACGAGCAGTTTGAGAGATCCTTCACAAAGTGGTCCAATCGGCTCCAGGGAGAGGTTTCTTGGCCATCCTTGAGATTGACTGTTAGTTTTATAATCTTCCTTTGGAAATGTGTTAATGAAGCTCCATGAAGTGTTTTCAAGCCGATGGGCGCGCCTATGCTGTGATTTGGTTTTGTCGGCCATTTTCTTGACCTAGATCGGCCGGATGTGGCTCCCTGGTCTATCTCCTGAACTGTGCACATTTCACCGTCCTATCGTTTGTATTTGCCGACCTAAATTTGATTATATGGACGCCTGTGAAGTTTGGTAGACTTTGAACACACGGTTAGGGAGATGGCCGATAATTGTTCTCCTTGTATCCTCCATGGCCGAGAGAAATATGCCGGTTAGAATATCTTCAAATCTACTCGGGCCAATTGAGATTTTCTTCGACCAAAGTGATTGTCTAACCCTTCTTTATCATTTCCAGGTGTTTCCCTTCTTGTTCCTTGCGATTGGGTTTGAACCTCCTAGGAAGCCTCCTTTAAGATAAGTGGGATGTGATGGATGGTGGGATAGGATGGATTGTGTAATAGGGTAGGTGGGATGGGATGGAGGTTTGTAGTTGGGACGTCCAGAGGGAACAAGGCTGACCACAGATGCGTTCCGGTCGGTCATCGGGGTAGACCCGGCCAGATGATTGCTCCTTTCTTCATTTTTCTAGGTTTCTTCTCAAATTTCATGCTAGATTCTCAAATCTCTGTATCCAAAACTTCAAAAACAAAAAAAAAACCATTAAACTAAAACAAAAAGTAAAAAAGGGAAAAGAAAACACCTTATGGGTTGCCTCTCATACAACGCTTGTTTAATGTCATTAGCTTGACGTCAGGCCTCTTCTTAGGCGAGTGGGGCATCGACTAAAGGAAATGTTTCTCTCTCATCCTTATCAATGTCTGCGAGATATGGCTTGAGTCTTTGTCCATTAACAGTGAAATCACCTTCAGAACGGTTCCATAGTACAACAGCGCCATATGGTTTCATGATTCGCGGCATCTTTATGGGATGAGTACAAGTAATAATTCCCTAAGACAACTAGTGTTGCAAGTGCACAACATATAATTGTAGTATTTAGGGGTCGAACCACAAGGGATTGGATTTCACACATTACATAATCATAGAGTTTAAATGACTAAGCTAAATCAAAAGATGCAAGGGTTTGTGTTTGTTTAGAACACGCAAAAGAAATAACAATGCAATTCTATACAAGCAACATTATTGAACTATTGAAAACTCTTTTGAAAACATGAGCCAAGTCGATTGAAAAGTTTGTTAAAATCCGATTCTTTTGAACTCAAAACACTAAGGAAGGATTATTCCACTTTCGTGGTTCCAATCCCCTATGTCTCTTAAACCAATGGGCTCAGCTTTCGTTGGTCATTGTAGAGTGAGACATGCATTACATCCAAGTAATGATTGTTCACAAAACTCTTTAGGTCTACTTTCGTAGCCTAAAACGATTTGCCCATCAAATATTGTGTCCGGAGATATAACAAGCTTTTGGAGAGTATATCAACCTAAAATCAAGTCACTAGTTAGCTACTCTAGCAACAAGCATTAAGCATAAATAAAGATGGAGAACCATAGGGTTTCCCCTTTTAACAATCGATTCAAGATGGCCATTATATCACGTCCTCATTGGAAGGATCCATAATTCAACAATGAGTCTTAGATAGTAGATGAAGTCTCATGAATCCTTAGAGAGAGAGGCGGCGGAATATAGACTAAACCACGCCTCACCCTTAGGGAGAAATCTCTACTTCTAGACTATATAAATTGAAACATGCAAGCTATATACAAATGCAAAAGAAGAAAAGAAAGAAGAAGGAGACCACCTAAGTGGCTCCGAACTTTATTGAATAAGTGTTTCTTGTTATGCGGCTGGTGATTCTTATTACAAGAGGCTAAAAGCAAGTATATATAGGTAGAGAGCGGGTCTAGGTCGGCAAAGTTGAGCGCGCGCAGAAGAGGAAAGTTTCCATTTCTCTTTAGCCGCTTGAGCTTGCTCTCCAAGTTCTTGAATGGGCCGCGTTCAGGCCAATGGAAGCTTCTGGATTGAGTTATGCTAGTGTCAAGATGAGCCAAGGCCTTGGGCGCGGTATCGCGGGCCTCTTGATCCATCAAAGTCTCCATGGGCTCTACTTAGGCGCTCGTCGGACATGTCTTGGTAGAAAATAAGTTCCGGTCCAACGAGTGATCCAAATGACCTCTTTCCACTTCGCCGCGGGTCATGACTCAAATATCTATCTTTCCATATAAGAAACATGACTTTTGGACGTCGGGAAGGCATGAATATGCGGTCGTACTTCGGATGCTCCGGTTTGGTCTTTAGCGAGAAATGTAGATTTGGTGCTCTAGACTTGGGAACTTGGTGATTTGACTCTTTTTGCTCCATTTTGACTCTTCTTTGCTATTTTGACCTGAATGATGCTCAAAACCAGAATATACAAGAAAACTACCTCTTGGGCATAAAAACCACATTATTTGTATTAAAAACATAGTGAAAACCTTGATAAAAACATGAAAGATATGGGTATATCATTTCACTTCTTTTATCTTAAAAGGTCCGGACCATCGCGATCTAAGCTTACCGGGAAAGAGTTTCAGGCGTGAGTTGAAAAGGAGAACCTGGTCATTGGGAGAGAACGTCTTGGGGACTATCTTCTTGTCATGATATGCTTTTGTTCTTTCCTTGTAGATCCTAGAATTCTCATAGGCATTATGACGAATTTCATCCAACTCATTCAACTGAATCAAGCACCTCTCCTTTGCTGTCTTGATATCGTAGTTTAGCTTCTTTACTGCCCATTCCGCCTTATACTCAATCTCAACAGGAAGATGACAAGCCTTTCCATAGACAAGGTGAAAAGGAGTTGTTCCAAGTGGGGTTTTGAATGCAGTTCTATATGCCCAAAGAGCATCATCAAGCTTGACTGACCAATCCTTTCTTGTCATTCCCACTGTCTTCTCTAAGATCCTCTTGATTTCTCTGTTAGAAATCTCTACTTGCCCACTTGTCTGAGGGTGATAAGGAGTAGCAACCTTGTGTCTCACTCCATTTTTCTTCAAAGACTTTCAAAGACCTTGTTGATGAAATGAGATCCTCCATCACTAATCACAACTCTTGGGATACCAAATCTTGGAAAGATGATCGACTTGAATAACTTTATCACCACCTTGGAGTCGTTTGTAGGGCTGGCTATGGCTTCTACCCACTTAGACACATAGTCAACAGCAACAAGGATGTACTTGTTCCCATAAGAAGAAGGAAAAGGACCCATGAAGTCTATTCCCCAAACATCAAAAACTTCCACTTCTTGGATGAAGTTTTGTGGCATCTCATTCCTTTTGCTGATGTTTCCTTGTCTCTGGCAAGCATCACACTTAGAGATGAAGTCATGGGCGTCCTTAAACATGGTGGGCCACCAAAAACCAGCTTGCAAGATCTTAGCAACAGTCTTGTTAGTAGCAAAATGTCCTGCATAGTCAGATCCATGACAAGCAAAGAGAACTCCTGGGACTTCTTCTTCTGGAATACATCTTCTAAACATACCATCAGAACAATGTTTATAAAGATAAGGTTCGTCCCAAAAGTACCTTCTAACATCACGTAAGAATTTCTTCTTCTTGTAGCCAAAGAATTGGGGTGGTGGATGATCAGCAGCAAGATAGTTGGCAATGTATCTAAACCAAGGAGTGTCGGATGGTGCTGGTTTTGGAGGTGCTCTAGGACGTCTCTCAAGGTGGAAAACTTCCTTAGAACTATCTGCATCACACTCTTTAGGCATCACAGTCGAAACCTTGTCTCTTAAGCAACTTTCATGATCAGAGTTCACTGATTTGATAACTTCATAAGATCTTATGTAAAGAGCTTGCTTGGAAACGTTTTGAGGCTTCTCCTTCTCTTCTCCATGGTCTAAACTCAATCTGCTGCCATTCCTAATGGTTATACAATAAGAGCTCTTGGTAGGGACTGCTGGATAAAAGACTCTTTTCTTTACTCTAGAGAAAGAAACTCTTTGGTTTGGATAGTCCACATTAGCTCCAACTGTTGCAAGGAAGGAACTACCAAAAACCAATGGCGTTAGGGGTTCCTCATTCATCTCTAGAATATGAAAATCTGTAGGAACAAGACAACCTCCCACTTGTACCAATATATCTTGAGCAAAGCCATATGGGGTAATAGTAGAGGCGTTTCCAAACTTCAGTGATGTTTGAGAGTCTTTAATGTCAACTATTCCAAGCTCATCTGCTATAAGCTTAGACATAACATTCACATTAGCTCCTGTATCGCAGAGGGAATCAATAAAATCCATACCATTGATTGTGCATGGGAAAACAAATTGCCCTGGATCTTCCATCTTATGCAGCTTTCTTTGATGAGGTCCCTTGTAGATTGGCTCATCATCTTCAGGCCATTCCAATGGGTTTTTGAGGGTTGAATGATCTCTAGGGGCTGGTGAGACCACGTCCTTGTTCTGAGTTGTGATAACTTTGCAAACTCTTGGATTTAACTCAGTCTTACTTGGAAGAAAACCCTCTTGCCTCTTCATACCTTCTGCAGTTTGAGCAACTTGCACCTCAAGCATCTTCACATGATTGGTTAGATCAAAGAGCTTTGCAAATATCTCATCATCTTTTCTGTTGAGATGACCATAGTCGTTCGCCATTTTGAACTCAAGGTTTTCAATCTCTTGGGCGTTTTGCTCTTGTCTTTCCATCATATGTTGTTGATTTTCCATTAGCTGTTGCATCATAGCTTCAAGTCTTTCCTCTCTAGCATCAATGTAGTTGACTTCTCCTTGCTGCTTATGAGAGTTATCACCATTACACTCCTCTTTATCCTTACCATGAGAAGCTCCCATGTTCTCACATTGGTATGCATCCCTTTGCTGGTTCTTGAGAAATTGAGCAACCATTGATTTCAGCTCAAGGATTTCTGAAAAGTCTGAACTTGGCTTGATGTGCTCCACGTTTTTCTCATAGTCCAAGCAAGAATATTTGTTGCTTGCAGCCAAGTTATCAATGAGATATTGGCTTGAGCAACTGTATTAGTCATGAAGTCCCCTTGACTTGCGATGTTGAGTGCCATCTTGAATTTCTCATCAACTCCTTGATAGAAGAAGTTTAGCAAAGCAATCTCTGTAAAACCATGGTGAGGGCACTCTCTCTTGTACTCCTTGAACCGTGAAACAGCCTCAAAGAATGATTCATGTGCCTCATGTCGAAATTCTGAGATTCTTCTTCTCATCCATTTTAATCTCTCTTTTGGGTAGAAATTCTTCAAGAAAGCTCTCTTGTATCATCCCAAGTAGTGATTGATCCTGCTGGAAGAGCCCTCATCCATTTGTATGCCTTCTCAACCAAAGAGAAAGAGAATAAAGTACACTTCAAGTAATCCTCAGAAACTCCACTACATCTCCTTGTAGCGCAGATTTCTTCAAACTTCTCAATATGATCAATGGGCTGCTCTTCCTCTAGGCCACGAAACTGATGCTGCTCCACCAAAGCAATGAGTTTAGAGCTTATCTTGAACTCTCCAGTAGGTCGTGGAGGGCATATAGGTTGGCGGTTTGTGAAAAAGATGTCTAGTGAGTCAAACTCTCCAATGGTGCGGTTTTGAGGATCCATTGGATATCTTCTTCAAGAGGTTCTATCTCTTCCTCAAGCTAACCTGAAACACAAAGAGATAGAGAAAAGTAACAAAATAATAAAAACAAAAACCAAGAAAAACAAAAACAAAAAATAAAAACGAAAATTAAAGCTATCCTAGACTAGATTCTAATCCGAAACTCAAAGGCAACTGTATTGGTCCCCGGCAACGGCGCCAAAAACTTGATGTGGATTAAGTTTTACCCAATCCTATTACTAGATACCGCAAGTGCACAGGATCGTTGGTAGTATGGGTTATCGAACACAAGGACCAGATAAGTTACACTATGAGTTTATGAGATTCAAATCAAGCTAGGACTCAAGTATGAAGGTTTGTTGTTGTCACGGATTCAAAGCAAAGTAAGTAAATAAGGTAAAAGCAATAGAAGAAAGCATTGGGCATTAGAGAATTCGCAAGGTTTCATAGATTGGATCAAGCAAATAGATAGGGAAATCAATAGTTTGTTCTAGAACTCGAATCAATAAGTATAATTGACCTACTCCCGCAGTGCCAATTACTATGTCTAACAACCTAAATCACACAACTTCCGCAGGTAATCAAGAGATTAAACATGTAAGAACAGTCAAATTCGATAGCTCTACTTCCGTAGGTCTAGTTCACAAAGCCTTGCAATTCTACTTCCATAGGTTACTATGCCTTGCTCATCTAAGTTGATTCAAGAGATTTAACAAGCGGTCAGAATGTAAATCTACCTAAGAGCATTAGCTTAGACGGTCAATCAAGCTACAAGCAATAAACACAAACTTAGATGAAGAACTTTAATGATAAAACCCTAATCTAGCAACCTAACAATCAATCCATGAAAACCCTTGAAAACTCTTAAACCCAACAAGGAGATTACTCAAATATAGTAACAGATATCAAGCAAATAGATGAAGAAGAATTCATAATAAAACTTGATAAGAAGTAAAGGGTTTAGAAATCTTCTCTATTGTGTTACAAAGGTGAGATCTTCTCCCATGAAGCTCTAAAACGAAATCAATGTAAAACTCTCTAAAACTAATGCGGCTCTCCCTTCTAATGAGGCTAAAAAGTATTTATAGTGCCCTAGGTCTTCACAAGTCGGTTTAGGTTAAATGGGCTGAGAATAGTCGAAACTGCATAAGTGGGCTTCTTGTTCGCGGACATCGGGTCGACCGTGTAAGGGATGTGGTCGGCCGTTTGGGTCGGCCGTGATGTAATGGTCTTGGTCGTGAGGTGATGATCTGGGTCGACCGTGGTCCTTTGCCTTCCTGGTCGACCGGTGCGTTCGGCCGGATGCTTTGATCGCATGTCGAGGAATGGATCGAGCGCGGTTCATTGCTTCCCGGATCGATCGCTGCGCTCGGTTGGCTGCATGGGACATGTGGTAAATCTTGGTCGACCGCGGGACAATGCTTCCCGATCGAACGGTGTGGTCGTGCGGGTCGGTCCTGGTGAAGGCCGAGCGAAGCAAATTCCTTTCCTGTCCGGCCGAGTGCGTTCGGCCGGCTGTGGACCAGTCTTCAGTACAAACGTGATATCTCCTAAACGGCTTATCCAAATTGCATACTTCCAACGGCATTGGAACAATAACTCATCTGGCTATCTTGGTGAGTTTCATTGAAATCCATTGAGTTTAAGGGTCCAAGCCGCTGCTGCTCGTCTGATGTACTGATGCAGTCCGATAAAGCTCCTCGGTATATGTCTCAGGGAAATAGAGATATCTCCCAATCTACTCGGTCAAATTGATTGATTCCAGTTGCGTTGCAAAGCTAACTCACGTATTAATCACGTCGAACTAGATTTGATGATGAAGTCCATTGAGTAGAATGTTTTTAAGGCCCTTCTAAAGTTGATGCTACGTCCTGGAGCGGTCTTGAAGTCCAAATCCTGTGTTTTGCTCCAAAATGCATCTTTTTACCTGTTTAGACTCTAAGTACTATAAATACATAAAAACTACCTTTTTAGATCAGAAAGCCATTAAAAACCTTATGAAAAGCATAGTAAAACCATATAAAAAACATGTAAAATAGAGGTATATCAATGACGCTGCTTGAGAAGGTAGTGATCGACAGCGGGACGATTGGGGTTTTAAACGGGACTACAGACCAAACTTTTTGAGCATACTCGCAATGGAAGAAAAGATGTTCGGCTGATTCCAGATCTCCACAGTGCATGCAGCAGACATTTTTAAGTAGTCCTCGGTTCATCAGGTTTTCACCAAGTGGTAATGCTTTTTGGAGTATCTTCCACATAATTTTCCCGACCAGATATCAGAGTTCTAATTGATTGAGGGGTTTTGTTGGACTGTAGGAACCTCTGTTGCCTCCCTAGCAACGTGATAACCTGTCTTGACAGAGTAGATTCATGTCCTTGTTGGTAGCCAAACAAAGGAGTCACTTGCTCCGTTTCTGCTAGGGCGAAGGGCAAATATTTCTGGTGCATGATGAGGTAAGATTTCTGAAATCTTCTCTCTATTCCACTCTCCGGTGTTATATATTAGAGCTGAGACTAATAAATATTTTTCTTGTTGTTTTGGAGGTCCCGTAGGGCAAGTTTTTGTTGATAGGGATAGCCATGGTTCATTCCAAACAGAGGTTGAGGATCTGTTACCAATGGCTTTTCCCAGATGCTGAACAAGTAAATGTCTGCCAATGAGAATTCCCCTCCATCCATGTGAAGTTGTCGAAGTAATTGGGATCTTTCGAAAGGATTTCTCTTGACAGTATTTTCCTTGTAGGACTCGAGCAAATAGGCTTGATAGGTTATTTATGATTCGCCAACTCAACTTTGCAAGGAACGCATCGTTGTAGCTTTGGATGTCGCGGAAACCCAAGCCTCCATCTCGTTTAGATTTGGTAAGTTTTCCCCAAGATAGCCAGCACATCTTATTTTTTTTCCTTGTTTTGAATCCCACCAAAATCGGGTTAAAGCAGATTGGATTATTTTATATAACCCTGCAGATAGCTTGAAACAAGACATGGCGTATGTGGGGATTGCGGATAGGACAGATTTGAGGAGAGTTAGTTTCCTTGCACTAGATAGGCATCTTGTCGAATAGAAGAACGCCGGAGCTGCTAGCGCCCTTACCCCATCATGTCACTTATTCCTCACTGCTCTTTGGCGGATCCGATCCACTATCATAGTAAACAGGTCTTTTTTCTTTCTCCCAAAACTTTCAGGAAGTCATAAATATTTGCCTTGGCCTCCTTCTTTAGCTATCCCAAGTTTTTTCCTTTACCATCTCTCTGATTTCCGCGGGTGTTTTCCTTGAAAAAGATATTGACGATTTCTGTGCATTAATCATTTGACTGGATGTTGTTTCGTATCTCTGTAGGATTGAGACAAGAGATTCAGAGCTTTTTTTGTTTGTTTTTCAGAAAAACATTGTATCATCAGCAAATAACAGATAATTGATGATAGGACTTCCTCTTGCCACGCGAATACCGGCTAGAGATCCATTTGCTTGAGCGTTTTTGCATAAGCTTGAGAGGACTTCACCACAGAGAATGAAGATAAACGGGGAGAGCGGGTCTCCTTGTCTGATGCCTCTTTGGGGAATCACCAACCCATGAGCTGCTCCATTGACCCAAAAAAGAGTAGGAGACAATTGAGATACATTGGAAGATCCAATTGATCCACTTGCCATGAAATCCCATTCTTTCCCGAAACGCTGCAATGAATTCCCATTCCAATCTGTCGTATGCCTTGCTCATATCAGTCTTCACGGCCATGGAGCAGTGCTTCGTTGCTCCAGATCTTTTCAGGTAATGCAATGTTTCGTGAGTTATCAATACATTTTCTGAAATGGCTCTTTCTGGAACAAAATAAGTTTGCGTCTCTGAAATGATTGATGAAAGTAGGGGTTGTAGGCGTCTTGTTAAGATTTTGAAGATGATCTTATAGAAGATATTACATAGTGCTATAGGCCTATAGTCTGCTATCGTATTAGGGCTTTGGATCTTGGGAATAAGTCTGATATGTGTACTGTTGATGGAGCTTGGAAGAATTTTGGTTAAGAAGATTTCTCTTATTTCGTCTGAAATCTTTTTACCAACAACTAACCAGTTTGTTTGGAAAAAAAACTTGCAGAGAAACCATCTGGTCCCGAAACTTTATCCGGATGAATGAAGAACAATGCAAGTCTGATTTCTTCCGTTGTAGGGGCTGCTATCAATGCATCGTTGGTTTCAGGGGAGATACAAGGGTTAATAGCTTGGGACACTGTTTCCCGGCAGCTTGATGATCGTTGATGAACAGATCCTGGAAGTAGGTATTGATAACTTGAACAATTTCTCCTTCTTCGAATACAGATTCTCCTTATTTATTCTCGATGATTGAAAACTTGTTTATCGCCATTCTTCCTCTAGTTATAGCATGGAAATAACCCGAGTTTTTGTCTCGAAGTGACAACCACAAAGTCCTGCTTCTTTGCTTCCAGTAGGCCTCCTCCTTCTGGTAAGCTGCTTTCAAGTTTTTATTGATGGCATCAATTCTGTTTTGGTCTTGAGCCGGTGCACTCATTGCTTCCTCAAACTTCTCTTTCTCTTGTTTGATAGATAGTTGACTGTTGATATGGTGTTCTCTATTCCATTGAGATATCACTTTCCTAACATTGGCTATTCTTCCTTCAACCGATCCTGATGGGTAGTTATTCCAGGTTTCTTCCACCAGCTTAGTGATTTACGGGTTATTTCGCAGGCTCCTGTCGTATCTAAAAGATCCTTTTTTTCTTTTTCAGATTTGGTTCCAAGATTGAGAGCAGAGGTCTATGGTATGAGCCTTCGAATTCTAAGTAGTAGCATCTGCTTGAAGGGAACCGCTCAGCCCATAGGCTGTTTGAGAAGGTTCTGTCCAGGCGACAGTGAATCAGGTGCGCATATCTAAGTCCTCTCCATGACAAGCTATTACCGGAATGTCACATGTCAAATAGCTCACATTATGATATGAAGGCTCTGAATTCCCCAAAGGAACCCTCTGATCTTGCAGGACCACCCGTTTTTTCATTGTTCTCCACAATATCATTAAAATCGCCAGTCAGAAACCAAGGCTCATCACGTGAGAGTGCGAGATTTGTGAGCTCATTCCATATAACTTTCCTCTTCGAATGATCAGGGTCTCCATACACAAAAGTAGCTACAAAGGTACTTTTTTTTATAGACTATTGAAATATCTATGTAGTTGTTACAGAACTTAAGACAGTTAGATGAACTTCTTTTTTCCAGTATAGGGCTAATCCTCCTCCTCTAGGGGTGTGAGGTAGAACCAGGAAACGAGACTCATAATCAAGGAATGGTAAGAGCTTTGTGATAAACTCTTCCGTGTTCTTTGTTTCCATTAGGAAAATTACATCCGGAGCATGGTTCCTCTGTAGCTCCTTCAGTCTATGGACAGTTATGGGATTTCCCAAACCATAACAGTTCCAGCTCAGGATTGTTAAGAAAGAGGATTTCGCAGATTGTGAAAATCCGCTCTATCCTTAGTTTGAGGAGGAATGATTGCTTGGGTGGTTGGGATGCTCGGTGTAGTTGTTGATTCTTCTGGGTTTGTGCCTCTTGCCGATGCTGACCCTCTCTGTTGTATTGCTCTGCTGTTGCGTCTGGTGCCATGGTTATGTGTGACCGGAGATAGACGGTTTTAGATTGCTCTGGACAGAGGAGAGATGCCTAGTCTTAGTAGAGGGGAAACTCTTTGTTGTTTGGTTTTCCTCTTACTAGGGCCAGCTTCGTTCAGTTGATTCTTCTTCGTCTGCAGTGAGTTTATTGGTGGTCGTCCACGCTTCTTTTTGGTTTTACCAAGGATTAGCTCTCTCTTTGGGTTTCGACTACAGTCTCTTCAGGAGGTAGAACTTGAGAGTTTCTTTGTCCGCCCTGGTTGATTGAAGATGTGAGTTACGCAGCATAAAGGTAAGGGTTTCCTCCATTAAACTTATGGAGTCACTCTCAATAACTCTTTTTCTTCTAGCTGCGCTTTCAATGGGATCCTCACAGTTAGTGTACCGAATACTAACATCTTGTAGGTCCTGCATAATTTTCTCAGCTGATTGGATTCTTTGTGATGGTCCCGGTGGGTGCTGGAGGCTAGAGATTCTTGACGTCACTGGTTCTGCCGGGATGGTTGAGGGATGGTGGGTTGCAGATCCTTCCTCTCTTACGGGTGGTGTTTGTGGTATTTTCCTTCTCCAAACTTGATTTGGAGGTGATCTGTATGTCGGTTGTTCTGATAGCCTTTGTTGGTTTGGTAGTGAAATCTCTGGGAGGAGACGTCTTGAGCTTCCGGGATATTTTTGTGGGGATCTAGGTCTTTCCCTTTGGTAAAACTGAGAGATTGCAGGGGTTCGGTTATGGTCGCTACCAGATGTAGGTTTGGGAACTGGAGATGTTTAAGGTCTTCTTTCAGATGCGCTCTCCATAATAGTTTCCATGTCTGTCTTGGCGCTGAGTGTAGGGTTCAGACCTTCTTTCAGAGATGTGTTTGCAGCCCTAGTTTCCCATGTAGGTAGATTTTGGGGTTTCACGTAGTTTGGTTTGTTCTGAGCTGAGGGCCTCGTTTTTTGGTTGATGTTCGAGATAGTTTTAAAGGACAAGTCTCTCCTTCATGAGATAATCTCGCACAGATGGAGCAGTGCTTTCCGAGATAGGATATTACTTACAATCATAATATCATAATTCATGATAAGATGTTCATCTTAAATGTATGATATGTGTCTTTTTTTAACATTTGTCAATTTTTTCTAGAAAAGTCAGATATATACTTTAACAAAACTAAATATCTAAAAATAACTTTCCGTCAGTTTTAAAAAGAAGTTTAACTATACAATAATTACAACTCATCTCAACATTTAATGTCTAATAAATCTTCATAATTGTTTTTAAAATGAAACCTCCATATACAAGGAGAGAAACTCATAGAAAAACAATATAACAAGTAACCAAACACTACATATTTTCAAAACCACCAAATGGACAATATACTATTTGGATAATACTATAGGAGTACCAATTACTCCACCATACATAAAACAACTTCATCTGAAAATCATTTGGTCATTATGTCAACAATACAACATCAGTTTAACGATTATTTTTATAATTAAATAATACACCCAAATAATTCAAGATTCAAACATGATGGTAGATAACTATACTATCATCTTGAGACACCACACAATGTCTTTTTTTTCAAAATTGAGTATCTCAACCCAAATTCATAAAGAAGATTGGTAATCCAAAACCTAGAATCAATACAAAACATGGTACAGAAGAAGAACATGGTGATTGTTATGTAGTTCTCCACAAGCTAAGAGATCCAAAGAACATCAACACGTTTATTTGCGGTCATAAATCCCACTATGAATATATTGCATACTGGTTATACTACACAAAAAAAAAACAAGAGTTTTGTTGAGCATAATTAATTTAACCTTTACTATGATAACTATGGATAAAAGAGTTTTAATATCAAATATTGGTTACACAAATGTTCCTTGTCATTTTGTAAAACTACATTACAAATTGTAAATTTCTTTTCACTATAACATTTACCATTGTCAATGATACATAATTGACCTACAGTATTTTGTTAAATCCTATCAAACGGAAAAATTGTTAAAACAATATAAGGCCAGACAAAAAAACTACCACATCGTAAATTTCAATGCATAATCTTGACAAGCATATAATCTATCTAAAGTTGATTATTCTCTCTTCTGCTGATGCTACCAGCTACCATTTCAGTAATTAGAAGCTTTAAAAAACTGACACATCAGTGCAAATAACCTTTTCTCCACTTACTCTCTTTTAAAATTTCTCATTTATTATGTTTATCCTTCAATCAAAAATAAATTATCATTTATTAAATTAATAGTTTCGAAAAGAATTTTGAAAAGTCATTTTTAAAAACGAAAATAGTTTATATATTGATCTTAAAAATTATAAATTTAATAATTTTAGGTTATTTAAATTGGTTTAAATAATTTAATAAAAATGAGAAAATGTATATCTTTAATTGACAATTCCAAAATTTAAAATAAATATACGAGAATACACATAAAAACCTAAGAAATTCATGTTGTATTAGAAATATATGTAGATGATTTGTTACATATTGTATCCTACAAGAATTTATATTTCGTGACATGCTCTTCTGATGTTGAAATATTATAGGGTGAACACTGTTCACGGAACGGGAAGAAAAAGAACGGGACAAAGCTAAACATGACGAAAATGAATGGGACGGGGTGAAAGGAGACAGGAAGAAACAGGACAAGGCAGAACAGAAAGAAAATGGACGGGACAAAGCAAAACGGGATGGGAATGAATAGGACGGGGTGGAACGAGACAAAAAAGAAATTAAGATGAGGCAGAACGGAAAGAAGATGAACGGGACTAGGCAAAACGGGATGGATATGAATGGGACGGGGCAGAACAAGACAAGAAGAAACAGGTCGAGGCAGAACGGAAATAAAATGAATGGGACGAGGCAAAACGGGATGTGAATGAATGAGACGGGTCGGAACAAGACTGGATGAGGCAGAACGGAAAGGAAATGAACGGGACGAGGCAAAACAAGATGAGAATAAATGGGACGGGGCAGAACGAGATGGGAGGAAACAGGATGAGGCACAGCAGAAAGGAAATGAATGGGACGAGACAAAATGGGATGAGAATGAATGAGCTGGTGCGGGATGGGACAAGGCGAGACGGGAAGAAACAGGATGGGAGATAACGAGACCAAAATGCCCAACCCTTATTTTAATTAACGGAACAAGATAAGAATTATGCATACCGTTTTTATTTAATTACTATTTTTATGTTTGGAACACAAAATTTAATATCTTGGAATTTTATTCTAAAGATATCAATAGTAACAATTTAAAATTAAGCGCGAAGCACGGATCACCCGGAGTCTTATACTCCTTCCGTTTCAGTTTACTTGTCATTTGTAAAAATGTATCTTAGATGTAACTGGATGTATTTTGAGTCAAAATACATCCATATACATTTCAGATACATTTCTGCAAATGACAAGTAGTTTGAAATGGAGAAAGTATATAAATAGGGAGTTCTGTCTCCATCTAGAGTGTCCACATCAGCATAAAAACATTAAATTCTATTTAAAATGTTTATTAAATTACATGTCTATTCATATTTCTTTACATATATTTCTATCTTAAACAAAATAAACTAGAAAATACTGAACTAAATCAATTAATTAATATAATATACATGATACCTTGGTGTTAAAAGTTAAAGAAAGTTGTAATATAAAATGGAGATGAAGTAAAAATATATAACTCGAAATAGTTTATAGTTAGTTTTTTTATTCAAATTGTGTATCGAGGAGTTATCCTATTATTTTTATAATGTGTTTACAAGTTAGAAAATTATAGAATATAATTTAATTAATATAGTCGAAACCTAATGAGAAATCAAAGTTGAAGATTTAAAAAAAAAAAAAAACAAATAGAACTTGAATTATAATGATGAAATTTTTAAGGATTGTGACATGTTTGTTTCAAAATACAATTTATAGTTACAAAACTAACATAATAAACAATAATTAGTGCTCATCATGCTCAAACACTACCACAACAAAACATATATCTACAAAGTTAGATATATTATTTTATACCATATTTCGAGTCTAAATATGGTTGTTCACCATGTTTACAAATTAAAACGTTGAGTCAAATATATGTTTATATTGTAAGAAAAATTCAATGGCAATCCCTTCGCAAATCAACATTTACGATGGAATTGCGAGAGAAATCATAAAGTTTTACTACAGAAATTATTCCCTCAACACATTTCATCGCAAGTTTGCGATGGAAATGTTTTCGTCGCAATATTGCGATGGATGGATTTGCCCTCACAAATAATTTATTTTTCAAATACAATTCAAATATAATACAAATATTCAAACATAACATAAGAAAAACATTCAAACCAAAAACTAAAATTCTTCAGACGGTCCACATATATCTCCTCTACTGGCCTGGAAAGTGTTTCGTCATAACCGCCTCATCCATGACTTATGTAGTCCATGGAACTCTTTTGTTCAACCATTTGCCATATATTAAAAATAATATTTAAAATAATGATATAAACCCTATGAAATAATCCAGGAAAAAATTATTCTAGTAATAAAACATTTATGTGAACATTTAACAATTAATACCAAAATTTATTAAACAAGTTAAAATCAATAATTAATCTAAGAGGAAATTTGGACCAATATTATATAAATTAATCATATTTTGAAAACTAACCCATTTTTTAAAGTGTTGGAAAACTAATCTTTCTAATATTCAAAATTACTAAAATACCCTAAGTTATTTAAGATATTAAAATTATTTTAAATTTCGTTATCTTATTTAAAAATTATTTAAATTGTAAAAAAGTATATATAATTATCTTTATAATTATAAACAATTATTTTTAATTTATATAACAAAAAAAAAACTTCAGTGTGGGATATTCCCATAAAATCTTAATAAAATGTACAACAAGAAAACAAAAATATATTTATAAGATCTTATTTAAAATTTAACATCTCATAAATATAAAACATAAGTTAACTTTAACATATTCTATCATCTTTTTAAAGTGTGAGTTTTTCTTTATTCTAAAATAATATTTATGTGTATCTTTTAAAAAACTAATTTTCAAAAATATCTTATATATATCTAAATTCAATATATATCTTAATTAAATATATTTTTTTTAATTATTAAGAGACAAAATAATAATGGTTTTATTGTCTTTTCACTTATTAAAAAGTTAGTTTTCAAAAAAATTAAAATCAGGGTTAGTTTTCAAATTATGAAATTTTTTAGTAATATTAAACCAGGTCACCCTTAATCTAATAACCTAAAAATTATATAAAATATATAAAAATTATGAAACAAGTTAAAAATATATATTTAATCAACCTAGTATTTTTTAAAATTAATATAAAAATTCTTAACTTGAATTTACAAAAATATTTAACATTGATTTCTAAATTTTTGGGATAATTATTCTAATAACCTAACAATTATATAAAATATAGCTAAATTATGAAAAAAAGTTTAAATCAATACTTAATATAATAACCTAACAATTATAGAAAAATAGGTCTTCTTCTGGTGGGCGCGTATCGACTCGACGCTATCGAGAGGCTTCATAGCACTCTGGATGGTCTCGAGGAGCTCATCACTCGAGGGGAAGTCTCTCGCATGATGACGTCGCTTAGGAGAGGGTGGTGGAGTCTTGCTTCTGCTCGGCGAGGTGGATCGGCTCCTTGACGGGCTCCTATCCGCTCCGCATGGAGCTTTTTCCACTATTGCTGGGTTATTCTCGTTGTCAAGATCCCTCTAGTCTCGGCTGGGACTCATGTCGATGGTGTTTTCTCTTGAATTCGTCATCGATCTTGTAGAACTTGAGGACTTCTTTGAGCTTGAAAGTAAGAAGTGTTCTCAGTCCCACGGTGGGCGCCAATTGTGAGATCTGATATAGCACACGTATGGTGATGGGTATCAAATATTGAGTGTTTAGGGAACTTGGGACTTTACTCGAAGAAGTATCAAAGGAATACAAGGAGGATGGTCTTGTTAAACAGGCTTGACGAGACGAAATGCAAAAGTAAGAGAAAAGTGAATAAGCTACAGCTATTGCTAAGAGTAATGGCGGATAATTTCGGATCCTCTCCAGGAATGGGGGGTTTTCATTATATAATGATGAGAGGTCGACTCCTTGATGAATATCCTCCTTTTTGTCGAATCGGAAAACCTCCTCTTCTTCTTGATTTCTTTCCATTCTTCGAGTCAGCATATGTCTCTTTTTACATTTTACCAAAGATTTTATCCTTTTTCTCAAGAATTGTCGTTTATTTGAGGAGGTTATGACTAAAGACGGGCTGAGCTTTTATGATGTTACTAATTGTGACGAAGTAAAGGAAATGTGTGAATTTCACCTCTAACATTAGGACTTTGGTAAATATAAAATATATGCAAAATGGATTATGAATAAATAATTGTTATAATCTTACGACAGTACTTTGATGAGTGCAGCTACTTCCTTAATAGATTGGTCTACTCAACTTTTCAATAATGAACTTTTCACAGGTTATACTCTACTGACACGGTCACCAATCTACGAGTAACTGTTGTTGAATGTGGATATTGATAGATGATAACGACTCAACCACCAATAATGTCAACTCCATAGTGCGACAATAAGACAAGGTGCACGTTGATTACAAAGACTGTAGTGATACTTGTCTATATTGATTATCTCTACAACACCTCGATCTTACAACGAAGTCACTTTCTCACTCTAGAGCCATCACTAAAGCTCTCTAGTCTTTTTATTAGAGAGTGTCATGGGGTGGAAAAACGTGAACAACCCTTTTTGGTAATTATTTAGTGAAACGATAAGGAAAAAGTATGGTACAAATATGCGGTAAGAAATTGATGGTATAAAATAGAAAAACCACCATTTTTTTCTTCTTCAGAAAATCAGTATATTTTTCTTGTTTCCATTACAATTTTTTTGTAAATAATATTCCAGCTACCATCTTTTACTACTACTATAATTTTTACCATCTCGTACTATTATTTTGTTTTCATCATCTTGTGTCACTAATCGGATCCATAAACTTCTTGTAGAACTGTAGGAGCAACACCATAATAAGGTGGTCAAGTCGTTTGATGTTATAGAAATCAAATACGTCAATGATTTTTCGATATCGTGAAATGACTTTCAGGTGGAATAAAAAAAAAATTATGAGGTCAATGAATCTTGGTGGCAACTTAATTAGTAGTGGATTCAATCAAAGCCTTTAATAGTTCGATACGGCTATGTATGATGTAAGATATTATGAAAGAAACCAAGTCGTGGTGGCATGACTATGACACTGATTATATTGTCAAACTAGGGGTTGCTTCACGCTGATTGTGTTAGTTTTATTGTTTTTCCGTAAAGTTAATATTTTTTCAAAGATATTATACACATATTATTTAAATATAATTAAAGTTAGGTAAAAAAAATTGTACTGTCTTGTTCCATCTCGTCCCATTTAGTTCATTTTCATCGATTTCATCATATACGTTCTTTTTCGTCCTGGTCCTGTATGTCATGTCCCATCCAATCTCATCCTATCCTATTTTGTTATGACCCATTTTGTTTCTTCTCGTCTGATTCCTTATATATAATTATGGTTAGGCATAATTCTGTTCAATTATGGTCCTTCTCATCTTGTCCTGTTCTTTTCCTTTCCGTTCGTTCTGTCCGCCCCATCCAATTTCATCGTATCCTATTATGTTTTTTTCTATTTTATCTTGTCTATGTCTTGTCTCTAAATATAATTAGGGTTAGGCAAAATTCTTGTCCCGTCCCTTTTCATCCCATTATGTCCCTTTTTATCCCATTATGTCCTTTTTCATCTCGTGCCATTCAATCCTGTCACATTCTATTTTTTTCATTATGTTCCGTTCAACCTTTTTGTTTTGTCCTCTCTCATCATGTTTTTTTTTGTCTAGTCACTTAATATAATAAGAAGTAAACAAAATTCGCCTCTTCTCCAGTTCTATTTTTTTGTCTCGTCATGTTCGATCTCGTCTTATTTTATTCCAAAATACTAAAAAAAAAGATGTTCTTTCTATAATAACTTTCTATTATTATTACTAAACTAGGAAATGAAGCCCCGCACAAGCGCGGGGTTTTGCAAAAACATTTGTGTTTTTTGTGTGTATTCGTTAATTTAAATTATGATTCTTTTATATTAAATTTTGGTGGCTACATTCTGAGTTAATCCAACTACTCACATTGAAAATATTCAAAACCAAGAAATGGTTGTTTAGTGAACTTAGAACTTCCTCTAATCACTATTAACGTTATGATTTTCTTTCAACTCGTCAAATTTCTTATTAACAGCATTTCGAGTTATGTTCACCTCTTAACTACACTCAACCATCACCTCAATCAGCTTTTGAGCCGTGCTGTTTGCCGTTTTTGGTCTGACATTTTCAATAAGAATTTTTTGAACTACATTTTCATTTGCTGTCTGAGCCGTTTCCCGTGGTGTTAGCTTGATTTGACATTAAAAAATGATTCTTTTTATTTCTATTATAAGACTTTTCAATTTTTTTATATACATTTACAAATAAACTTATATTTTTAATATATTCATGAATTTGTAACTCCTAGAAAATCTATGTTTTCTCATATATTATTTTAAATATGTTATTTTTCTTATTTATAATTATTTTTATATATTTTGAATTTTCAAGGATGTAGAAAAATGTTTCTTAAATTTTATAAATCATCTAATATCTAATAATTTTTCTTAGTTGATACTTTCTTTTTTATATGTGACTAGGTTTTTTGGTAAATAATATATTTTATTTAGGGAAATATAATAACAGAAAAGTGTGTAAATTAATTGATTTATTAATTTTAGTTTTAATGTTTGTCATTTATCATTTTTTCTTTTGCTGTATAATATGTAATTAAATCTGGGACCTATTACCTCCACAAAATTAGACTGATGTGGATAGCTTTAGAGGAGAGAGCACTCCCTAATTATATATAAGATTATATTTTTTTTAGATCTATACATAATTTTTTTTAAATGACTGTTCATATTTTTATTAAGTTATTGTAATAATAAATGATACTTATTATAAAAATTAAAATAGAAAAAAGCAAAAATATAATAAATAAATTGATATGCTGATGTGGCAAATTGGAGAATTTAGAAGCTATAAGAAGAGAAGAACATGAATTTTATATATATAGATATCGAATGAGGTCCAAAGAGTAAAAACAAACTAAAATTTGAGTTGAAGCAGTATTCAAAAAAAAAAAAAAAATATATATATATATATATATATCCTAAAACAAGAGAAGCACCAAATATTCAGTGATTGTCGTCGACAAAAAAAGGATGCCCAAATATATATCTTTTGGGGTCTATTGATTATATTTGAGAATATCAAACTGTTTGATTCAAACTCAAGAAAAGTCATACTAAAAAATATCTAAAATAATTTATCAACTAAAATTGCGTTGAAAGCCCTATCAAAATCAGAAGAAACATGTATTGTAAGTTGTGATGGGTGGTGTTAGTGAGATTGACATGATGTATTTTTTTACAACTTGTTAACGTGCATCTTGAATCCTTTTTAAAGTGGAGATATCTGTACAATTTCTATTTTTAGAATTCAAATAAAAATGATGATTATATAAATCAATCGACAAAAATAGGAAAAAGGAAATAAAAGCCACCAGAAAAAGCGAATGATGTTAGAGTGTGTGGGTAGAAAAAGAGAGGTCAAAGATAAGTGTTTTTACTTTGCATGCGAATCAAAGAAAAACCTGAAGAAAAATTAGAAATCTTTCTACGAGTACGATTTAAAAAAAAAAAAAAAAAAAAAACCATGGGAGTCACAAAAGTATACTTGTCTTGTCACTTAACAGTTTCTATACTTTATAAAACCACTAAATAGGGTCGGTCCCTCTCCTCTTCACTAAACGATGAAAAAAACAACTCTGCTTTTGACATGACAATCTCACTATCAAACCATAACTTCTCCTATTCTTATCACACAGTCACATACAACAGGACATTTCAGGTAAGTGTAGATATCTCCACACCAAAAAAAAAAAAAAAAGAAAAAGAAAAAAGAGAACACAACCAAAACGAAAAGGAGGGTCAGACCATTGCACCGCACCATACCTATGTTCTCTATGAATCCGAATGGTTAAAACCCGAGGTAGAACCAGACTGATCTATATGTGTGGTTGTAGGTCAACGAGTTGAATACTTGAAGGAACAACCGAACAAGTAACAACAAAGTGGGGTTGGGGTTACTTGAAAGGACAAAGCAGATAGAAAAGAAGGTGGGGAACAAGAGGGAGATATGTACTTAATTGAGTTATATCTTTCTAATTTGATAAAGAGAGATATTACAACAAGGGCTGGACCCTAGCTCGGAATGGACTACGTTTCGACATCGGGTTCGTCAGTCACAAATAGGACACAACACAGTTTCTCTTGTTTATCCACTTTGCAAAAAAAAAAGATCACCTTTCTTTTTCTCCTGTGCCATTATTGAGTTGGGAGAGAGAGAGAGAGAGAGAGAGAGAGAGAGAGAGAGAGAGAGAGAGAGAGAGAGAGACAGACAGAGAGAGAGAGAGTATTTAACTGATGACACTAGACATGAGGGAGCAGATGTGATCTCCAATAGATCTTTGTTTCTTGATTCCCCAAGAAAAAGACACGACTTTATTCACTAATAACGCCAAAAGTATGTCTCACTGTTTAGGATAAAATAATGCGACCATGCGTTTGTGCACATAACATAAATATGAAGTAGACAGGATGTAAAACAAAAACAAACAAATCAACGATCTTTACTTACCAAAATACTAGACTACTTGCAAACATGTGTGAGGTGGTGGTGACTACACAAAACCCATCACATTGGATAAAAATTTGTCTTGAAATAAAAGAGTTTCTAGTTTCTTTCCCTTCCTTTATATATTTCAAAATAACACATCCTAGATATTTGATATTGGTGAGTGTAGTGGAAGTCTTACTTTTACTGCAAATGGACTGGTATTTGAAGGGCAATTGGGAGATGGTCTCTATCATGGATACTTGTCAGCTAAAGGAGCCTGCAAGTACACATAGGTGGAAAAGAAAACAAAAAAACAGTGCAGCTTCTCTGCTTTCTTATCCACCTGACTCACTGCAACTGAATATTCACTTGGTCTCATCCGAGGAAAAAGACACACCAACAAATAAGTATACA